ATAGGTAATAAGTAATCAAACCTTACCTGAAACCAATAGAAACAGCTGGACAAATCCACAAAATATAACATGAACAACAGCAAACCAAAAACAAACAATTAATACTCAATATTCTTTAATCTGCTTCTGTTAGCCATGCTTATTTTTAACATTGTGACATCCATGTTCCAGATTTGAAGTACTACAGTATCTGCAGGAGGAATGATTCATTTGAATGTCACATATATGAAAGAGACTAGGAGGTTCTGCTTTTCCTCTTCTCTGGGAAATCAACTAGGGTATGGCTATAGCACCGTTGTTTTATTTCTGAAATCTTTGAGAGACTGAGAATATCTAGAAGTAGCATGTACATTCAGTAACCTACCTGTTGCCAAATGCTTTTGAAGAACAATAAAGTATAGAATAGAAAATTGACTTCATATAATCCTGTCCCCATTATGTACACAGATGTTCAACTGGGATTTCATAATTTTCATTTTCACTGCATTTTGGCATCCAGAATCTGTGTTACAAATTTTCTTTATTATTAATGGTCAGTCCATTCAGGTTTTGATATCATATAGTAAAGAGTTTTGTTTGTAAATCAAATTTTCTTGGTGACAGCAGAGAGATATGAAACACTATGTTTGAAAATAGTTAGCACATCATATTCCTGTGGCCATAGGTGTGTTGTTATCATATGCTTTGAGCTGGTGCTGATCTTTCTTCTGATTCATCCCTCAGATTAAGTAATCCTATGTCTGATATTTTTCTGATATTAAACTTGAGACTGGACTATATTAGTGCTTTGGTATCATCAATCAACTCTCAATATGTTGGAATTTTCTTTTCTTTTATTAATAGCCTTATAGGTGATTTTCAGTAGGTTATTCATGAAATGTGAAAGAGAAGGACATATCACCTTCAAGCAACTTAGGCTCTAAAAAATTTATGGTGGGATCTTGAACATCACTTTTTTGCTTTTTATTATTACTTATTTTTAAATTTAAATTAGAAATGAGGTTGATTCACAAGTCAGTTCCAGGTCATTTTCCTTTTCCCTCCCCTCCTCCTGTTCCCTTCCCCCACCCCATCATTATCCACATCATTTTTTTTTATTTCTCAAACAGTGCCTGAATAGCATCTCTCAGTATTGTGAAATGATGCACACATATGTGGAGATATCATTATTTCATTAGGTATCAGTTTATTTCTGTGTGATTCTGGCAGAATGAAATAAATTGATTGTTTATATCTGTCATAATATTGGCCTCAGATTCTTGATCATTAAGCAGCTTAGGCTTTCCCTTTCAACTCATAGAGTTAATCACAATCTCCATAATTACCTAATTTGTGACCAAATTTTTGTCACAGTGACTGTTGGCTAAGTAATACATACAGATTATCAACAGTCTTATTTCCAGTAGTCTACCATGGTGAAGCATATATGTGAAAGCAGAAGTGTTTGTCTTCTCTGATATCATAGGTATGTAAGAACTTAAAAGTAATGTATTTCCTTCACATTCTGTAGTGTAAAAATACTTTTGAAATTATCTATGAAGGCCAATCATTGCACTATATACCTGCAATTGCCAAGAAGCTAGCCAAATCAGATTTAAATAATCACGGAGTGATGAAACTCTTATATTCCATTATAATATCAGGATTTCAGTTTTCACTGTAAGTTTCCAAAGATAATTGGATGCATTTGAAATAGTTACACACATACACACATACACTCGCACACACACTCACACTCTCACACACACACACACACCTACATTAAGTCCAATGTATCATGAAAAGAAATAAAGAAATGTAAGACAAGATGTATCGATACTTACCTAAGAGAATGCATGTGGCTGAATTTATTGCCAGGAGAATGTGTCTGTGTGTGTGTGTGTGTGTGTGTGTGTGTGTGTGTGTGTGTGTGTGTGCATTTATTTCATGTGCTAAGAGATGTCTCTCTTAGAAGATGGAGCAGCCTTGTTTACAGGATTACATCACAGTAGGCTGACTAGCAACTCAAAGAGGCCCCGTGGGGCTGGAAACGAACAAAACATACTTTATAAATTTTCTATCAAGATCCATCATGTTACTATATGCATGATATTGCCTAGAAGCAAGCCAATTCATAGGTAAATTATCCCTTAGTGACAAAACGCTTATATTGCCTTAAAGGTTTTCAGTTTTCACTGTATGTCTCCAAAGATATTAAATGCATTTGAAATAGTTGCCCAACACATAACATATATATATATATACATCTTGTGGTTGCTTATATATATATATATACATTTTTGGTTTGCATATATATTTATATATATATATATGTCTATGTGTGTGTGTGTGTGTGTTTGTGGATAAACTTGCTTGGCATAGTTAAGATTTTCATCCATTAGTGCTCTTTCATTTATTCCATGCATCTTTCTGGCTTTAATATAATATCTGTACAAGTAAATCTCAAAATAAGAACAATTATTTTAAATTATTATACACCAATAAACGTGCATGTAAGTAACCCACACTATACACAGTAGCACATAGTGCTTGTGTGTAGATATTTTTAGCATTGATCTTTAGAACTTAAAGCTACCATCATGGCAATAGTAGCTAGAAATTTGCCCAGCAACTTTCCACAAATAGGCAATGGTGTCTACTGCTAAATAGAGGCACAGCCAATGGTGAATTATATTGCATCCTGTCATACCAATTCAATTACACTGCTTCCATTATACAAAAAGGAAGGAGGGAGAGAGAGATGAATCATAACATCTGATGAAGATTTAAGATAACTGTCGTCATTCGTTTCCAATCCTAAACTTGACATCTCTTTCCTGATTTCTTCCTAATACTTTTCTGAATGCATGCGCTCTTCCAATAGGGCAATCACTACTAATATAAACGACGGTACAGGAAGATTTTTTCCAGTCAGGCTCCTGGCTAAAGTCCAGCTCTTAGCTGGATTTAGTCAAAGCCTGGCTGTAAACCACACCAGAGAATGGAAACTGTCCTGGAGTCCTGCAGGAGACTGCGGCAATTTAAACTTGGGATAGGGTAGGTTTTGGGGTGATTTTTTTCACAATCCTGCATGAGTACCTGCTCCTGTTTTCTGAGAATGGAGTGTGTCCCTGTCTCTGAAGCCACAGCTTCAAAATCAGTATCTGTGATATCTGGCACAGTCATGGATCCTGCATTTTCTTAAAAAATAGTTTTAATACAATACTTGGCAAAAACTGGACTTGTATTACTCAAATTTGCCCTTGGAGGATACAATATTCATGTCTATGTTTGGGAGAATATTAATTTAGCAATCTGAGGCTCTGTGAATTTCAAGTGTCAGCTTCTACAAATAAGTAAACCTGTGAATTCTGACATGATATCAAAAAACATTACAAGCAATATGTCACAATTACACAGGGAGGTGTACTGCTTAATAGAGGCCAAAATCAAGGGTGTATTTACTTCATCATCTCTTCCCATATCAAGTTCCCTGTGTCCTTCACACAAACAGCAAGGAGGTAGACATAGATGAATCAGCATCTCTGAGTGAGATCCGTAAGAACAGTCATCAAATTTACATCCTCAGTTTTGAAATCACTATCCTGATTTGTTGCTAATGCATCTGTAAATGCATGCCATCCTCAAATAGGAGGTAGTGACACCAAATATATATGTCAAAACTGAAGGATAAATCAAGCTCTTAGCTGCATTCAGGCCACGCTTGACTGTGAAAATCCCCAGCGTAGGGATACTGAACCAGAGACCTGCAGGAGACAGTGGCAGTTAAAAAAATACTAGGAGACGATAGGTGATTGGTGTCATTTTCCATAATCCTGCAATGACTAACTGCTCCTGCTTATGGAAATGTATATTCCACAGGTCTCTGAAGCCAAAGTTTCTGCCTTAATATCTGTGGTTTCTGTCTCAGTCATGGGTATTGCAGTATGTTCAAAGGTATTTAGTTTTAACTCAAGTCTTACAGAAACCTGGCTCATATTCCTCGTACATGACATTAGACAATTAGGCAGAAATTGTTATGTTTGGGAGAAACCTTATAATTGCATGTATGGAATCTGCCCTGATATCAAAAACCATTACAAGCCAGCTACAATTGGCAGAACCAAATTATTAACAGCCATCAGAAGGCAAAGACTGACTGTTTCATCTAGAGGGCCTAGATATAGATACAAGTAGGTGGATGTATGCTTAACCCTACTAAACTAAGGATGTATTTCTCTTTATATATTTTATTTTAGTCCTGGATTAAGTATATTATTCCCTGTCATCCTTTTTATGCATTGTTGTTTCTGCTGCAGATAGGTTTAGTTTTGAGGGAGAAGTGAATCAGCACCTCTGAAGCATATTTCCAAGCATTCCTCTGGATTTGCTTTCATTGCTGGTATTGAGATCACTCTCCTTATTGGTTCAGATTCCTCACACATCTTAAATGCACAAGATCCACAGAGAGAGAAAGGAGTGCTAATATGTGTCAGAATTGCATGTTTTATGCTAGGCATTCTCTGGCTATATTCTGAAACTCAATTGCTTCCCAGAACAAGGCAACTGTCTATGCCTATGAATTAGGAAAATCATGATTTTTTGATTCCTTGAATTACAGCCATAATTGACCTCATTCTGTCACCTCTGCAGCAAGATGATTCCTGAATATTGAATTAAGTTTTTTTTCTTTATAATCATAATAGTTGCAATAAATGTTTGTGGCACTTGAAGTTCTGCAGTTCCTGCATTAAAATACTTCACTGGAACCGGGCGGTGGATGCACAAGCCTTTAATCCCAGCACTCGGGAGGTTGAGGCAGGAAGATCTGTGTGAGTTCGAGGCTTGGCTGGACAGACAGCCTCCAAAACAATACAGAGAAATCCTGTCTCATAAAAAAAGAATACTTCAATGGAGGATACGGTATTTGGACCGTGCCCTCGGGGTCAATGTACTGGGACACTAGGGGAAGGAGTGAGAATGCAGGAACAAGAGATGTGTTAGACGAGGACAAGACAGGATTCTGGTTACGTTTTATTTATTAACTTTATCAATAGGCACAATTAGTGCAGGTGGATGAGTGATGAAAGTAGAAGAAATTCTCCATGGCTGGATTTGTTGCAAGGACTCAAGTCTGCAGATGGGAGAGTCTGGACTGCAGTCTTTGGAAATGTTCTGTACAGGCAGATAAGCAGACACATAGATACACAAATTTAAATAAACATTAGTGTAATTTAAGATGAATACTATTATGCTATCCTTAATTCATGCCCTCCATAATATCTGACATGGACTAGGGGAGTCGGTCTGTTTCCTGTGCACTGGGATATCCATTGTGTTATTGTTCATTACATTGTAATTTGTTCATTTATTTATTGACTGACATTACAAGTAGTAATATTTGTAAAAGTGAATGAGAAGGATGTAGCAGACCTGAACCATTTTCATGAACAATGATTGTTTTGCAATTAGCTAAATACAGAAGAAAAATTAAGAAGGAAGTCTATGCACAAGTCTCACATACATTATGTCAATCTCAATGTTCGCTGACAGGTAGAACATAGGACTTTTCAGGATTCCTGTAGTAAATTTATGCAAAATCTTGGCATAATTCTCTGAACTCTCTAGAGTTTACCAAAGAAAAATATTTGTACTTGCTTTGTAAATTCATGTGATTTAGTGCTCAGAGATCCGGTAAAGCTGGAATACACAAAACTGTTTTTGGAGACCTCAGGATTGCTGAATTGAAAGGAAATTAATTAGGATTGCAAATATTAGGTGATTCAAACTTCACATTTGAAATATAAATGACTCCTCATCCCATTAATCTACTACATCACTCAAACACTTAATCCAATTAAAAACATATTAATAGTTTCTTTTCTCTAAATTGGAATATAAAACTGAGTGTAAGATTTGGCTTTATTACCTCACAAATATAACTGGCAGATTAGGTAAAATATTAACATTTTTTTGTATTTCATGTACTTCACACAACACCATGATTAACTTGAGTATATTAAAGTGAATTATATAAGTAGATTGGAAAAAGTATGTCAAAGTTGTGAATGAAAATCAGTGAAAAATTATGTTGTTGGATTAAAAGCAACCATGTTAGATTCATGGTATATTAATGTGACATCATCTGAAAAAAGAAATCAGTTATCACATAAGAGATTTTATTTGTGATATCCTTAAAGTACTGAAGAATATTTGATGAAATATATTTGACATCAGCATTTTCAGGGTTAAAAGCCAGTGTCCAGTTAAGTTTACACTAACAACTGTTCTCTATCAGAAACTTTTAAAATATTTCCACCATTATGATACATATTCAGAAATAACAGAGTTTACAAGTAGCTGGCCAAAGTTCTCCTTAATTAAGGAAATCATAATATGAAAAAATGAAATTTGTGTCAGCTCCTGGTTAATAATGTTTCATTTTGTGTGGCTGGTTTATTTGAATTCACTCATTTCTTGCTTATCCATGCATAAATATTTAAAAATATCATGGTGACATAAGGTTATCATGAATGTCCTCATTACTTTATAATATTAAAATAATTAAAATTAGATGTGTTGACAGGTAGATTGACCAAGTCATGGAAGCTAAAGGGTATATCCAGGAAATAGATGGATTCGAACAAGAAACAATATATGCATATAGGAAGTTCACAAAATTGAATTACATATATATTTCATCCCTTTTTTATAAGGAAAGTGGATATTGATACAAATCACATAGTTCTTAGGGAAAGGTTAATAGTAAGTAGTCCTTAATAAAGTGTTGATATATAATTAAATCCCTGGACATTAACCTAATTGTTTCATGCAATGACAATACAAGTAATGATGCACATGTTATGCTTACTATCAAGTATTTTCTAGAATATATTTTATTATTCATTTTATATTATATTTTTGAGAAACCTGAAGCATGAAATTATCAACATTTGTTGCTGTTGTTGTCTTAGTCTCCCAGTTAAATATTCAGAATGTTAGTTTTCAGTAATCTTTATAACAGCTTTATGAAATTTGCCTCATTAACTCAATCAAGAGTGGCAAAACTGTGTTCAAAGTGGTACCAAATCATTCTTCATTATCTAAGGAAAGATATTTACCAAGTATGTATGTTGTTATAACAAATATTGTGTCTATATTCCTTTAATAATAATTTATTAACTGAATGTTCCAGTTCACGTCCTTATTTAAAACAATTTCTTTTCTTATATTTGCTTAATATTATAATGATACAATATACACATACACACACACCTTGACATCCAGGCACATACTTCTTATTATTGTCAACATGAGAATTCCTAACCTATTTGTTTTTGAGTATGTATGCTTTCAAAATAGATCACTATTTATGAACATTTCTTAGATTGCTTTTAGATTCTATAATATGTATAATGCACAATATATTTTTGTGTTAACATAAGATCATATGATTTTCTGTCGAATGGGCAATATGGCACAGAATTTAACTAGTTTAACCATTCTTTTCAGAATATTGGTCATTACATGGTACATGAATTAGATACAATAGGACTATATAATTTACAAACAAAAACTCCATTATGAATTTTAATTTCTGACCTTCATTTCATTTACATATACACTTCTGTAGCTGTATCTAATACAAAAGATTTTAGGTTCTAAAAATAAGGAATACAGCGGAAAAATAATAAGTTGATTGCAATAAGAATATAATTTTTTCAGGCATATGCATAGTTAATTAGAAAATCTTTCCAGTAAATTTCATTCTTTCTAACAAACAACAAGTGGAGTCATGATGCAGAATTCCATAGCAGGAGTTACATATGAATATTAGAAAGTGATTTCTGGGGTCAACATTTAATTAAGAACACATTGCTGACCATGTGAACTGTGAGTAAAGGCACCATCAAACAATCCAGTATAAATAGCAAAGAAACTCATTATTCTTGCACACACAGCAATGCGAATGCAGAGTTTCGTTGCCGACAATCTCAAGTATTCTTCTCAGAAGAAAACATAGAGATGCTTATATTTACTATATGCTGTTGGAACAAAGGCTCAGTTTTCTTATATTAAAACACTCTCTTAGTTATTGACAGATTTCTATTAATGTGTGCATCTCCATATCTGCTTTTATTTTGAGAGAATTCTGAGACTCAATGTCTGTGTTGCTCTCCCAGAATTCTGATAGACTTAATGTGTGACCAATATTTCCTACCTGGCCGCATAAGGAATGTTCCTTCCCCGAAACTGGATAATAGAGGGATAAATAATGATGATCCCCTACCATAGGCCTCACAGATTGTGAAGGCCACCTTATTGACATCCATATTCCAGGATTCTGGATCAGTACCATGCTGGCATCATCAGGAGTCCAAGAGGTCTCCCTTGTTCAGGTTACCTGCTTCTGTGGGCTTCACAAGCATGGTCTGGACTCCCTTGCACAACAAACCTGTCTTTGTGCAAATGTGTTCCTAGAGAGCAATTCAGTGTTTAGCTGAGGGTGTCTGGCTCTGCTAATACCACCCAATGGATAAAGGCACTAGGATGGCACACAAGGTAGTAATCAATCTCAGTGTAGAGAAATGGCATTTAATGTAGCATCTCCACTATTGCTTAGATTGCAAGTTGGTGTCATTCTTGTAGATCTTTGTAAATATCCATAGTCACAAATATCTCTTCAAACGTTTAATGGCACTCACTATTAAGGAATCTCACTATTCTCTCCATGACTATAACTTCATGCTCCCTGATATCCATATATTCCCTCTGCTTCTCAAAATACCCTTCTCTCAGATCTTTTTTTTTCTCTTCCCCAATTTCCAAATCTTCATAGTATGTTTTGTCCCACCCCATTCTCTAGGGGGCCTAGTACACTGCCTATTACCCAGACACTCAGGAAATGAGGAATATATATGGGAATTGATGTGGTCTATGTATATTTCTTCTGAATAATACTGCATTGTGAAAATATAACACTTATTCTCTATCAACTATTCATTTGAGGGGCACCTTGGTTGCCTCCAGATTCTGACTATTGCAAATAATGTTGCAATGTCTTTTGTTTTTTTTGTTATGTTTAGTTTTGTTTTTACGAGGCAGAGTTTCTCTGTATTGTTTTGGAGGCTATCTAAAATGAGGTTACCTGCACACAATATGTTATTATTCAGCTAGGGCAAGAAGAACCTTTAAACAACCTGACTGGGATGGAGATTTTCTATTAGAGAGCTATACTCTTTTCAAAATCAGCTAGAAATTTGCACAGCAACTGGTCACAATTACACAGCTGTCTATTGCTAAATAGAGGCATATTAAGTATTGTATTTGACTTCATTCTCTCTTCCAAATCAATTCCCCTGCTACCTTCACACAAACCTTAAGAACTGAGACATAGATGAATCAGCAGCTGTGACTCAGAGAAGTAAGAACTGTCGTCATCTGTTTCCATCCATATTTTTGAAGTCTCTTCCCTGATTGGGTCCTAAGGCATCTCTAAGTCAAGCACTCATCCAATAGGAGTCAATCACCCCAAATAAAAATGTCAGAACAGGAGGAATTTTTCCAGTCAGGCTTCGGCCTAAAATCCAGCTGTGAGCTGGACTTAGGCCAAGCCTGGCTGAAAACAACCCCAGAGAAAGGAAACTGTTTAATAGACCTGCTGAAGTTATTGGCTCTTAAATCCTAGGATAGGGTAGATGATGTAGGTATTTTCCAAAATCCTGCCAAGACTAACGTCTCCTGTTTGCTTGTAAGGAAACATGCCCCTGTTTCTGAAGCAACAGATTCAGCCTTTGTATCTGTGATTTATGACTCAGTCATGGATCCTGCAGTATGTGCAAGAAGATTTAGATTTAACTCAATTTTTGCCAGAAACTGGGATCTTATTCCTCAAAAGAGCAATTAGAGGATAGAGCCTAAATTTTTGCTTAGACATCTGAGAATCTGTTAATTTCAAATTCCCAGATTCCACAAATAAGTGCATCTGTGGTATCTTACATGAAATCAACACACATTACATGCCTGCAGCAAATTGCAGTACAGAATCATATTCAGCCTTCACAAGGCAGAGACAGAGGAATTCAACTATATATCCTGGATACTGACAGAAGCAGTTGGATATATGCTAACCAATACTTACCTAGGGATGATTTTTTCCTTTGTTTTTTGTATTCAGGTCTTGCATAAAGTAAATTATTCCCTGTCATCCATTTTCTGTACCGTGGTTTCTGCAGCAGCACATGTTTTTTTGCTAAGGAGAAATGAATCAGCAGCTCTGAAGGGGATCTCCAAGCATTCCTCAGCATTTGATTTCATTGGTCGGATTGAGATCACTCTCCTTATTGGTTCTGCTTCTCCGTACAACATGAATGCACACAGACACTCAGAGAGAGAACAGATAGCTAATATTTTGTCAGAATTGCAGGATATTTCCAGGCATGCTCTGGCTATATTCTGAAACTCAAACTCAATTGCTCCTGATCAGAGGGAAATGCTTCTGTCTGTATTCCCGGACAATGGCAGTTAATTAACTATTTCTTTTATATGCAGCAGACAGAGGGGCTATGAATTAGGAAATTCATAAATTGTTTGATTACTTATATTACATATTTGATTATCATTATCCTGAAGATTTATAGCAATAGATTTCATCCTAATTGTAATGTTTAATTTCCTTAAAACAGTGAAAATTGTAGAATGTGAAGTTCCAAATTCCCACATTAGTAATACTGATTTTAGTATTTAGTATGTGGCATAGACTAAAAAGTCCTGCTGTTAACTCTCCCCTGACACATCCATTGTGGAAATAGCTATTATATTGTATCATTATTAATGAATTATTTGAATGCCTGAAATTAAAAACAGTAATACCTGTAAACCAGCATGTGAATTATATATTCAAATCAGAACCCCTTGCATGACCAATGATTGTGCTGCTGTGAACTGCACATAAGCACACTTATTTAGCAGGTAAATACACACGGACTTTAGACTCCCATAGAACAATGTGAGGTGCACTCTCACCCTGAACTCTTGGGGAAGGATCTAGGCCCTACCCTATATGAAATGACAGACTATGGACACCCCCATGGAGGGCCTCACCCTCCCTGGGGGAATGAGCAGATAACGGGGGGAAGGGAGGTTTGGGATGAGGGCACGGGATGAGGGGAGGGAATGGGAAAGGGACCTGGAACTGACTTGCGAAGCAACCTCATTTCTTATCTAAATTTAAAATGGAAAATAAAATATAAAAAAAGTGTCAGTTCTAGAGGACTTTATAAAGTCAAGCTCCTGGCTACAGTCCAGCATTAAGCTGGATTTAGCCAAAGCTTGAATTTTAACAACTATAAAGTAAACTTTCCAAAATTAAGGCAGGACATAGTGGCAATTTAAACCTAGGATAGGGAACGTGATTGGTGGGACTTTCCACAATGCTGTCTGAGTAACTACTCCTAATTCCTGGAAAGAATTGTGATTTCTGACACAGTTCCGGATCCTGCAGATTTTGCAAAAAATAGTTTTACCTCAATACTTGGCATAAATCAGACTTATAATGCTCAAATGTGCCCTTGGAGGATACAGTATTTATTACTATGTTTGGGAAAGTCCTCACTTACCCCTTTGAGACTGAGAATTTCAACTGTCAGATCTCACAAGAAAGTACATCTATGGCATCTTATATGACATGAAAAAAATTACAAGCCAACTGCAATTGGCAGCAAAGAATCATAATCTGCCATAAGAAGGCAAAGACAGAGGATTTCATTTAGATAGCCTGTATGTAGGAAAATCTGCTGTTAAAATATCTAAGTTTACTCATTATTGAGACAAAATCATGACTCAATGATCCTGTGTGGAGTTTTATTGGTAGACAGGGAGGGAAAGGGGGGTGAAAGGTAGCCAACATATACAGAGCTGATTGAGAGAGAGACAGAGACAGAGACAGAGACAGAAAGAGAGAGAGAGAGAGAGAAAGAGAGAGAATAGTAAGAGAGGAGAGACATGAGATGGAGAGGAAGACATGAAGATGGGATTAAAACAGAGTGTATATGGGCAGAGGTCATTCATTTAAAGAGTGCCTTTGCACCAGTGAGGTTTTCACAGAACTATAAGCTGTCTAGAATGCTGATTTAGTGTATCCTGCCAGATATCAGGGCAGGACAGCATAATGCCTGAATCTTTCATTAGCTGGCCAGCATGTGGGGATGAACATTCAATTTTACTGTTACCAGTTGAGGTACATTTTTCAAATATTTCCTTTATTGAGTCTCTGCTCCCCTGAGTCTTCGCTCTACCGGATTTTTCCCAGTCTTTCCAAGTCTCTCTGGATTTCTGTGGAGCCTCCAATTGTGGCAGTTATCAGTAAAAGAAAGACAATACTTGCAGCTACTTGTACTAAGAGAAGGCATGTGCTCCTTTGATTGCCATGAGAATGTTTTGTATGTGTGTATGTGTGTGTGTGTGTGTGTGTTTGACTTTATTGGAAGTGCTAAGAGGTGGCTATCTTATAAGAGATAGCAACCCTATATTCAGGCTTACAGCACAGTGGAAAATCCCCAGGTGGAAGAGTGAATATTTTCCTCCTGCTAGATATTGATGTCAGAGTGTGAAGGCCTGGCCATTAAGCCACGACTTGAAAACAGAAAGCACTTGGAATGGAAAGCAGGTTTAACTTGTAGGCTGATAAGCAACTAACAGAGACCTCATGGGACTGGGACCCAACAAAACATACTTTAGACCCATATGTATGTTATTGCCTAGAAGCTAGCCAAATCAGACTTAAATTATCACTGAGTGACAAAACCCTTTTTAGCATTCACTATATGTCTACAAAGGAACTTCAATGCATTTGTAACAGTTATCCCCCACATATCATATATATATATATTCATATATATTCAGATCTTCTTGTTGCTTATACAAATATAGATATATATGCTAGTTTATACATGTGTATGAATAAACTTGCTTGACGTAGTTCAGATATTAATTCATTAGAGCTCTATGTTTTATTATCTTTCTTGTTTTAATAAAATATCCATTTAACTAAATTTCAAAATAAGAACTATTATTTTAAATTATTATCCATCAACAAATGTAGATGAAACTAATCCACACTGTATACAGTAGAACATAGTGACTGTGTATAGATATTTTTAGCATTGATCTCTGGAAATGAAAGGTCTATCAATCTTATTGTGCAATGGAAATTGATACATTCTATGTTAGAACTAAATATTTGTTCTTGGTTTATCTGCTGAGTGTGATAATTTTGAGAGGTCCCAAACTGTTTTGGCATTACAAATTGTGATGTCATTGTGATAAGATTTTTTTTTTTGGTTTTATGAGACAGGGTTTCTCTGTATTGTTTTGGAGGCTGTCGTTCCAGCCCGGCATCAAACTCACAGAGATCTGCCTGCCTCTGCCTCCCGAGTGCTGAGATTAAAAGCTTACACCTCCACCGCCTGGCTTCATTTTGGTTTTGCTATTGTTCAGTTCTTCTAAATTGTGTTTGTAAATTCATTATATTCATAAATGTAAATCTATCCAGAGCAAATATCACTTTCCTTTGGATAATAACTGCATATGACAATTGCATGCAATGTTTTATGATTCTAAACATAATGGAGGAAATGTGGGATGGATAATAAGGTCTTGGGTGAAACAATGTTCATTGCCATGGAGACAGATGTTATTTGTATAAGACATCTGATAAATGATTTTTTCTGAAATATACAGATTTTGTTCATTATGTACAAAGGGTAAATATTCAGTATACATCAATTACATAAATTCAATGAAGTTGGGAGTCCCCCGAGGGGGACCCTGACCTGCGGGGATGAAGTGATGAGGGTCGCTAATACTGTGGTAGGTCTTCATGAGCAGATCCAATTTTTTTTTTATTTTCCAGTTTAAATTTAGATAAGAAACAAGCTTTCTTCACAAGTCAGTTCCAGGTCCCTCTCCCTTTCCCTCCCCTCCTCCCGTGCCCACCCCCCAAACCCGCCCCCCCCCGTTATCGCCTCATTCCCCCAGGGAGGGTGAGGCCCACCAAGGGGGTGTCCATAGTCTGTCATTTCATATAGGGCAGGGCCTAGATCCTTCCCCAAGAGTTCAGGGTGAGAGTGCACCTCACAATGTTCAATGGGAGTCCAAAGTCCGTGTGTATACTTGGGATGGGTACTGATCTGCTTGCCAAGGCTCAATAGATTACCTAGGCCCCCTCACTGACACCCACATTCAGGGGGTCTTGATCAGTCCCATGCTGGATTACCAGGCTGATACCTGGGAATCAAGAATTAACCCTTGTCTGGTTAGCTGTTTCTGGGGGTTAAACCAGCCCAGTCTTAATCCCTGTGATCATCAATCCTCCCTCTCTGTTACTGGCTTTCTTGAGTTCAGCTCAGTACTTAACCAAGGGAGTCTGCCTCTTCTTTCATCAGCCACTAAATGAAGTTTCTGTTTCCCAGACTCTCTGGCCATAGGATTGTAGGCTGGCACTCTCCAGATCTATGTCTAAAATCCATATATGAGAGAGTACATACCATGTTTTCCTTTTTGTGACTGGGTTACATCACTCAGGATGGTTTCTTCTAGTGTCATCCATTTGTCTGGGAATCTCATGATTCCATTGTTTTTTTCTGCTGAATAGTACTCCATTGTGTAAATATACCACGTTTTCTCTATCTACTCTTCATTTGAGGGGCATCTAGGTTGCTTCCAAGTTCTGGATCTAACAAATAAAGCTGCTATGAACATAGTGGAACAGACATCTTTGTTGTATGAATGGGCATCTTTTGGATATATGCCTAAGAGTGGTGTTGCTGAGTTTTGTGGTAGGTTTATTCCCATTTTTCTGTGAAATCTCCATACTGATTTCCAAAGTGGCTGAACCAGTTGGCACTTCCACCAAAAATGGAGGAGTGTCCACCTTTCACCACATCCTCTCCAGCATAAATTGTCATTGGTGTTTTTGATTTTATCCATTCTGACAGGAGTGAGATTGTATCTCAGCGTTGTTTTGATTTGCATTTCCCGGATAGCTAAGGATGTTGAGCATTTTCTCAAGTGCCTCTCAGCCATTTTAGACTCCTCTATTGAAAACTCTCTATTTAGTTCTGCAGCCCACTTTTTAATTGGGTCCTTTGATAATTTGGAGACTTGCTTCTTGAGTTCTTTGTAAATTTTGGAGATCACTCCTCTGTCAGATGTGGGATTAGTGAATATTTTTCCCTTTCTGTCAGCAAGCTCCAGACCTGTCGCGCATTTGCTGTTCCATCGGTGTTCTGTAACACGACTCACACGGGGGCGCCAGAGGGGACCCCCGACCTGCAGAGATGAGGGTCGCTACTAATATGGTGG